GTCTGGTCAGCCAGTCTATTGCCTCTTGCCTCCGGTTGGTCTCCTTTCTGATGCCCCCGACAGTGTATGATGCTGAGCTCTCTTGGCAGGAACAAGGCATCCAGCAAGGCGATGATCTCGGCCTTGTTTTTGATTTCTTTTCCTTCAGAGGTCGAGACCTCTTCTTCTGTAAATTTCTCCATGGATGTGGGCCGTCGCAAAGGCGTATCGGCTGTCTGTATAGACATTTAGGCTTTTTCCTTCTGCCAGGCGCAGGGCCTGGGTTAAGGCTATCAGTTCTGCTTTTTGCGCTGAAGTTCCTTCAGGTAGCGGCTTGGCCCATATTACCTTGTCTTTTGACGTGACTGCTGCTCCTGCCCGACGTTGGCTTCCCTTTAGGAAGCTGCTCCCATCGGTGTACCAAGTGTAGTCTGCGTTGTCCAGCGGCTGGTCCTTCAGGTCTGGTCGGGTACCGAAAACCTCTGCCAGAATCTGGAGACAGTCATGATGATCTGGCTCTTCGGTCGAGGGGAGCAAGGTAGCAGGGTTGAGAGCTACTGGAGACCCAAACTGGATGCGATCGGTGTCCAGTAGCAAGGCCTGATAGTGAGTCATGCGGGTGTTAGAGAGCCAACGGTCTGGTGGCTGTCTGATTAGGGACTCTAACGCATGGGGAGCCCGTATGCAAAGAGGCTGTCCCAGAGTGAGTTTAAAAGCGTCCTTGACCAGAACTGCTAAGGCTGCCACCATTCTAAGACATGGAGGCCAACCTGATGCCACAGGATCTAGTTTCTTAGAGAGATAGGCGACAGGTCGCCTCCAAGGTCCCAGTTTTTGTGTCAGGACCCCCTTTGCATACCCAGTCTTTTCATCTACATATAGTTCAAAGGGTTTATTAAGGTCTGGCAGTCCTAGCGCAGGCGCAGTCAGCAGGGCCTGCTTGATATTCTCAAAAGCTCGCTGGTGTTCATTTTCCCAAGTAAAACCTTCACTTGCCTTGGTGAGAGGGTATAAAGGGGCCGCCATCTCAGCAAATCCTGGAATCCATAACCGGCAAAATCCAGCAGTCCCCAAAAACTCTCTCACCTGTTTTCGATCCTTGGGGGCCGGGATGCTCAGGATGGTCTGCTGACGGGCCTTAGTCAGCCATCTCTGTCCTTCTTTTAGTTGGTATCCTAAATAGGTTACCTCCTTTTTGCAAAGCTGGGCCTTTTTAGCAGAAGCCCGGTAGCCCAATTGGCCCAGTTCCTGTAAGAGAGCCCCGGTACCTTCCAAGCATTCCTCCTTAGTCTCTGCAGCCAGCAAGATGTCATCCACATACTGGAGTATGATTAGATGGGGGTACTGAGTCCTGAAGGCAGCTAGATCCTGGTGTAGGGCCCCATCAAAGAGGGTCGGGCTGTTCTTAAACCCCTGTGGGAGCCGCGTCCAGGTGAGTTGACCGGAAAGCCCTAACTCAGGGTCTTTCCATTCGAAGGCAAACAGCGGCTGGCTGGAGGGATGGAGCTTTAAGCAAAAGAAGGCATCCTTCAAGTCTAGTACTGTGTACCATGCATGGCTGGGTGGCAGGGTGCTAAGTAAGTTGTAGGGGTTAGGGACCGTTGGGTGAATATCCTCAACCCGCTTATTGACCTCCCTCAGATCTTGCACCGGCCTATAGTCAGTACCACCAGGTTTTTTTACAGGCAACAAGGGGGTGTTCCATGCAGATTGACAGGGAATAAGTATACCTTGTTCAAGCAGCCTCTTGATGTGAGGTCTGATCCCTTGTTGGGCCTCGATTGTCATGGGGTACTGCTTAACATTGGCAGGCGTGACAGAGGCCTTCAGACTAATAACCAAGGGAGGTTGCTGTTTAGCCAGTCCCATGCCATTAGTCTCAGCCCAAGCTTCTGGGTATTTAGCCAACCATTGATCTATATTCTCTGGGGTTGGCCTTGGGTCATCATGAAGTTTGTACTCATCTTCTAGTTTAAGGGTGAGCACTTGTATAGGTGCTCCTTTAGAATCAGTAATCTTGGCCCCCTTATTTTCAAAATAGATGTGTGCTCCAAACTTGGTTAGTAAGTCCCGTCCTAGCAGGGGGTAGGGGCAGTCTGGTACATGCAAGAAGGTATGAGTCACCGTTCCTGAAGCAAGCTGAACCTCCCTGTTTGTGGTCCAGCGGTAGCGCTTGGCCCCAGTAGCTCCTTCTACCCATGTTGTTTTCTTACTAAGCGGGCCAGTCGTCTGGGTGAGGACAGAATGTTGTGCCCCAGTGTCCACCATAAAAGTGACTGGTTCTCCCCCCACTCGGAGAGTTACCCTGGGCTCAGGTGGGGGGTCCTGGCCCCGACCCCCCTAATCAAGTTGGAGGATCTTGGTTCCGCTCTCGTTGGGTTTTTCTCGTCTCTTGGGGTTCTTGGGGCAATCCCTTGCCCAATGTCCCTTTTCCCAGCAGTAAGCACATTGGTCTCTCCCTAGATGGCCGCCTCGCCTGCCACCCCTATACCTCTTTTTCTCTTGCCCTACTACGGTGGCCAGGATTCTACTTAGCTCTTTGGTTCGTTCCCTTTTATTTCGTTCTTCCTTTTCTTCTTGGGTTTTTCTTTTATTATAGATCCTGTCTGCCTCCTTTACCAAATCTCTGAGGCCTTGTCCCTGCAGGTTCTCCAACCTCTGCAGTTTGCTCCGAATATCGGGGGCAGACTGCCAAATAAAGGACATAGACACACTCACTTCTTGTTCTGGACTGTCTGGATCAAACGGAGTGTATCTCCTATAGGCCTCTTTGAGCCTCTCCAAAAAGACAGTTGGAGGCTCATCCGCTCCTTGCATAACTGATCTTACCTTAGCCAAATTGGTGGGGCGCTTTCCTGCCCCCTGGAGGCCCGTTACAAGCAACTGACGATAAAGACGTAGGTGTCCCCTACCTTCAGCTGAATTGAAATCCCATGCAGGTCTGTTAAGAGGGAAGGCCATATCTATTTCATTCGGCAGCTGCGTGGGTCTCCCGTCTTGGCCCGGCACATGCTTCCGGGCCTCCAAGAATACTCTCTGTCTCTCTTCTGTGGTCAGGAGAACCTGTAAGAGCTGCTGGCAATCATCCCAGGTGGGCTGATGAGTCAGAAGAATTGACTCTATTAGGGCCGTCAGAGCCTGCGGGTCCTCAGAAAAAGAGGGATTATGGGTTTTCCAGTTATATAAATCTGAGGCAGAAAAAGGCCAATATTGGTACTGATTTTCCTCCCCTCCCACCAAACGAAGGGGAAAGAGATGGGCGGGATCTGAGTGCCCTCGGCGGCCTCGCAAGCGTCCCGCAATGGGGGAGGGAGCTGCTTCTGGATGCCCCTCCTCCTGTGAGCCGATCTCTGGAGCTGCAGCGGCGGCTTGCAGGGGAGGATGGAATGGAGAGGGAATCTCGTTCATAAGGTCCATGGGTCCGTCTTCATCTGGAGGCAGAACTGGCTTAGGCTTTACTACCACTGGCAATAAGCTGGAAGAGCCAGGAGTAAGAGGAGCAGAGGGGGTCACCCCCGGCCTAGTTAGAAAGGGGGTCACCCATGGTGGGGGGTCGAGTGACAGATTTTCCCAGGTTATGATGTAGGCCACCTGGTCAGGATGACCGGCTGGTCCTTCTGAAAATACCTTGGCTTTGACCTGTAAAATGACATCTGAATCAAAAGTCCCATCTCGTGGCCACCCAACGTTGAAGGATGGCCATTCTGAGGAGCAGAGCGTTATCCATTGATTCTTCTTGATCTCCAGCGACTGGTTGTGGGCTCTGCCTCTAACTTCTCTCCAGTGATCTATAGTCAGACTTAATGGGGTGGTTAGTTGTTGTCCCATTTTAAAATTATCAAGAAAGAGTATGAGGCAGGCAAGGTGAGAGAGAGAGAGAAAGAGAGAGAGTCCTGCTGTCAGGAGTCGCTGGGCACGGTTTTGCAAGAAAAACAAAAGGCGGAGTTGGGGGAGGAGATGGTTAGTGACACGTGTCCCTCACTTAGATGTGGTGCACCGAGACCAAAAAGAAAAACAAACAAAACTCTAGCGCCTGAAGCTGTTAGGGCGCTGTCGCGACTAAAAAGGAATGAGAGCTCGTTACACAAACAAAAACATAAAATCCAGATGCCTAGGGCTGAGGGCAGCGCTTTACAAATGGGGGGATCTTTCACCCCCCACATCGTTTTATAATGGGGGGATCTCTCACCCCCCCCCACACACACACAAATGAGAGGATCTTTCACCCCCCACACAAAGAGGCTCACACACCAGTCAGGCGGCGAGACGATTTCTCATCTCTCACCCTCCTACGAAACTGGCCTCCCTCCTCTCTCTCTCTCAGGGAGGAGGGTGACAAGTGGACTCCACGTCCCTTGCCCAAATGTGAGCCCCCAGTCCCCGAGGCGTCCCTCGGGGTGGCAGGCAGAGCTCTAGGATCGTCACCCTGCTCCTGCACTGCCCAAACAAAGGGATCCCCAGCAGAAACCAGAACCCAAACGCTGCGCGATTCAGCCCCAAACAGACTAAGCTTGTTTACGCATAACAAACACACACACACACACACACACACACAGCCGGCCACTTACCTCCCCGAAGGGACGGGAATTGTCCCAGTGGTTTCGACTCTCTGATCTCGCTGGGGCCTCCAAATGTAAAATTGAAACCACAAAGGACAAGTCGAGCCCTCGAGTTGCAATAGCAAGAGGCTTTTATTTTACACAGGTACCTGTGGGCACAACTCCTGACAAAGGGAGAAGCGCGCCCCAGGTCTGGGGTTTGGGGTCTTTATAGAGCAGAAGCAGCTTACAGAAGCAGAAGCGTGGTTAGTGGTTAGTTTAAACTATTACAAAATGCTATAGGGAGAGCGGGGGGGCTTACTTATCATTAAGCCAGATGTTTCAACCATAAACTTACTTATCAGTGAGTTGACGCAGTCTCAGCCATGAAACTCACTAATTAGAGAGTTGGCCATGAAGCTTACTTATCGGCAAGTTGGAATTCTTGACCAGCACATGACCTGCCTGAGACGTGACTTGTCTGAGAGGCTTCATGGCTCCTGACTTTTATATTTTTCATTACAAATATTAAGGAAAACCACCGAGAATTCTGTTAATTGTGATCACATTAATTATATAGGTAACTTGACTCTTTTAGACATGCTTATTAAAGTGCTTAGGATTGTATTCTATGTAATAGCCTTCATGATTATCTAAATAGAAAAGTGAATATGGTGAATTGTTAAGAATGCCCACCTGTGGTGTGTGGACATTATGTTTTTGGTGTGTTTGAGAGCTTTGTAATAGAAACTTATAAAAGTAAGTTGGACTCAGACTTCACAAGCATGCCTTTGAACCCAGAGCTTCAGGCAAAACTATGTAAGCAGTTTCTGTGAATTGTAAAATGTAACATATACTACGATGAAGTCCATAATTAAGAGGATAATTTCTATTTTTCTAAGTGTTTTATATTTGAAAAAAAATCAGAAGCTGATCGATATACATGAGTACACGGCCCCCCAAAAAGGTCATGTGTACCATTCACCTCTCAAAGAGAACTTCCTTGGCTTTATCTGTGTAACTTCTAAATTCAAAAGCACTTGGGAACGTGTGATCACATTTTATGCCTTTTAAAAATGAGTACACACACACACACACACACACCTTGGTTAATGGCTTATAACTTAAGGGACAATAACAAACAGAGACTTTTAAAAATTTTAATTACTTTTAAATACTTTTGATGTTTTTGGCCTTTGGAATAGAGCATGTTACTAAGAGACCCACCCAAGGACATTTTAACTTTTAGCCAAGAAACTGGAAAGCATTTGGGAACTCTAACCCCTCAAAGATTTTTAGGGTTACCTCTTCAGAGGGAGAAATGTTAGAGTAGCAAAAAGCTGCCCCCAAAGAAGGAGTACATGAAGTTGTCAGAAAGGAGGAGTTGGAGGGGAGGGAGTGGACATGGACTTGATCAAAACACATTATATGCATGTATGAAATTCTCAATAAATTTTTTAAAAAAATTTAAATTTTGTGTAGGAGTGTTATGCCTACATGTAAGTGCACCCATGTCATGTAGTGCCTGCAGAGGACAGAAAGCACCAGATCCCCTGGAACTGGAGTTACAGACAGTTAACTGCCATGTGGGTGTTGAGATTCAAACCCAGGTCTTCTACAAGAACAGTCAGTGCTCTTAATCTCTGAGAAATCTCTCCAGCCTCCCTCCCTTCCCACCAAAAGAGATTTTAAAATCATTTTATTTACTTGTGTGTGTGTGTGTGTGTGTGTGTGTGTAGGCCAGAGGGCAACTTGAAAGAGTTGGTTTTCTCCTTCCATCATGTGGACTCTGGGGATTGAATTCAAGCTGCCAGGCTTGGCAGCAGTCACCTTTACCTGCTAAACCATATCACTGGCCCTAGGGAGTAAGTTTTAATTAGCAAGTAAAAAGAGATTAATGTTACCAGTATCTTAGTCCAATTTATATGAATTAAGAAAAAGACTTTATGAGGCTGGAGAGATGACTCAGCAGTGAAGGGCACTTGCTTCTTTTTCAGAGAATCCATCTTTGGTTCCCAGCACCCACAAAAGGCAGCTCACAACTGCCTGCAACTCCAGTTCCAAAAAATCCAATGTTCTCTTGTATCCTCCATGAACGTTGCACACATGTAGTGCCCATACAGAGAAGCAGACACATACACTTGTGCATAAATAAAAAAAGAATAAAGAAATTTACTATTTGCATTAGTTACTTTTCTGTTGCTGTGATAAATAAAACACCATGATTAAAGCAACTTATAGAGGAAGAGTTTATTTGGCTTACAGCTCCAAAGGGATAAGAGACCATCAGGAAAGGGAGCCATTGCAGCAGATGAGGCTGGAGCAAAAAGCTGAGGGTTCACATCTTCAAGCACTTGGAGGAAGAAGAGGGAGCAAACAAGAAGTGGGACAAAGTTATGAACTCTCAAAGCCTGCGCCCAGTAATGTGCTTCCTCCAGCAAGGCCACACTTCCTCAAATTTCCAAAATAATGCCTTCAAGTTGGAGCAAAGTATTCAAATACCTGGAGCCTATGGGGGACATTCTCATTCAAATCACTACACTATTGATACTTAAAAGCTTATTATTGTTGGGGCTGGAGAGTTGGGGCTGGAGAGATGGCTCAGCAGTTAAGAACACTGACTGCTCTTGCAGAGGACCCAGGTTTGATTCCCAGGACCCAGGTTTGATTCCCAGCACCCACATGGCAGATACGAACCGTCCTTAACTCCAGTTCCAGGGGAATCCAAAGTCCTCTTTTGACCTCTGCGGCATTGCACGACACGGGTGCACTCACATACATGCAGGCAATACACTCATACACATAAAATTAAAAAAAAAATAATGTTTTTAAAAGGTTTTTTATTGTCGGCAGTGCTTGGTGGTGCATGCCTTTAATCCCAGCACTTGGGAGGCAGAGGCAGGTGGATCTCTGTAAGTTCAAGTCCAGCCTGTTTTACATAGTGAGTTCCAGGACAGCTGGGGCTACAGGGAGACCCTGTCTCAAAAAGACCAAAAAAAAAAAAAGTTTATTATTATCCTTTTATTATTAAATTTTATTTTTAAACATTCATGCGCCTGTGTGTGTCTATATGTATGTTTGCACATGTGTGTGCAGATGTCTGCACAGGGCTAAAAGAGGGCATCAGATCCCCTGAAGCTGGAGTTACAGATGATTGTGAGTACAGGAGGCTGTGAGCTGCCAGAAGTAAGCACTGGGAACCAAACTAAGGCCCTCTGCAAGACCAACAATTGCTCCTAACCATTGAACTACCTCTCCAGCACCTGTTTTATTTATTTTTTGAGACAGAGTCTCACTATTTAGTCCAGCTGTCCTGGAACTCCCTTCGTAACCCTGAGCTGACTTCAAATTCAGGATTCTCCTGTTTTAGTCTCAGAAGTGCTGGGATCACAGGCAGATGCCACCATTCCCAGCTCAAAGAGGGATTCTCTTAATCTGGCTCTATAGTCCCAGTTATAATGTCAAATAGCTTCTAGAAAGAGCTCAAAAAGGTCATTAACTATGTGACAATGTTCATTAAATGGGGTGTTGGCCTTGCACTCTGTTCACTGAGGAGTGCCCAATTTTCATTTTCAGATCTACATAATGAATTTGAGCAGACTGTCTTCTGGAGATCTGTTCCCCAAATTACCAGTGAACTGCATCTAAGCAGAGCAATCTCTATGAAGAGGGGGCTCTACTAAACCAGCAACTTTACTTCAGTTCACAAAGTAAGAGATAATTTTCCTTTTAAGGGAGAGCTGCTACTGTTCTGTGTATAGCTAATACACTATGGTCCAGGCAGCTGCACTCCTGAACCATCTGCTTTGGTCTCAGGAGGTGAGGCTGCTGGGTCATTCTCTTTTTGTTGAGTACACGATGACATACTCCAAGACCGGAATTTTGGACTAAAGGCCTCTATTTGGGCTAGAAGTTTCTAGTGCACAAAAGACTAAAGAGTAAGCAAACAGCTGCTTTGCAGAAGGGATGAACATCACAGTCTTTCCAGGGTGTCAAGTGAAACTTACCTTCTTCCCTCTTAGAAGGGATGTCTAAGAAATTTTTTTGATCTATTTTTTATTTTTATGTGTATGCATGTTTTGCTTGCATGTATATAAGTGTACCACATACATGCAATGCCCATAGAGGCCTGAAAAAGGTGTGCTAGATAGCTTTAGTCATCAACTTGACATACCTGGGAAGAGAGACTCTCAATTGAGGAATTATCTCCATTGGATTGACTGGTGGCCATGTCTGTTGAGCATTTTCTTGATTGATGTGGAAGGGTCCAACTCACTGTGGGCAGTGCCACCCCTGGGCACGTGGTCTTGTATTGTATAAGAAAGCAGACTGGTGTGGGCCACCAGTGGGACCCCGGCTCACAGCCTAATGGTAAAAAAATAAAAATAAAAATAAAAATAAATAAAAAGAAAGCAGACTGGTCAGGCATGGTAGTGCATGCCTTTAATCCCAGCACTTGGGAGGCAAAGGCAGGTGGATCTCTGTGAGTTTGAGGTCAGCCTGCTCTACATAGTGAGTTTCAGGCCAGCTGGGACTACAGGGAGACCCTGTCTCAAAAAGACCAAAAAAAGAAAAAGAGAAAGAAAGCAGATTGAGCATGGCCAGGGGAG